CGAGGCCCCGGGGGTCACATCTCACTCCTCTCACTATAACTCGGACATGCTGCTCTATGGCTCCTGAAGGGGAGGAAGTGATGGGGAGGAGGAGCGGGAGATCAGTTACATAATAGCTAATGCCCTCTGTCCGTGTCCAGTGCCGGTGGCAGATGGTGTATTGCCCAATAGTCAAGGGTGAATGGGAGCAGGGGAGGGCTGGAGGGGGGGGGGGGGTAGGAGGATTGGTGTGGAGAAACACGGGATGAAGGCAGCAGCAGTCACCTCAACGTGAAGGAGGGGCGGGACAAGAGCAAACTGAGCTGCTGTCACCAGCTCACTGTAGTAATACTGTGTGTGGAGAAACTTGTCTACAACTTCATGTCAGTCAATGTGACCTCTCCTTAACTCCAGCTGCCAAACCATGGTATTTGTAACCATGTATAGAGTTTAGAGAGGCTTGGTCATTGTAAAAAGAAACAGAAATGATGATCTGATTTGTTTTTAAAAGAGAAAACAAACATATAGCTAAAGTAATAATCAAATAATTAAATAATCTAAATGCAGTGGATACAGCATTACATAGTTAGTGTTATATTGAGCAAAAAGTGATGATTACAAATTAAACAATTAGCCATAAGTAATGGACCAATGAATTAAGAAGTAATTGGCTAAAAGAAAAGGATCAAGGGGAGATTATTAGTTAAAAGTAATGAATAAACAAATTAATTAGCTAAAAGGAAGTCAATTAAAGCCAGTGATAATTAGAAAATAATTCGCTTAAAATAAGGAATTAAAAATAAAATAGTGAAAAGTCATGATTACACGAATGAAATGTATATCTTAAATAGTGAGCAAAAAGTATCAAATGCATCTGAAAAAGATAGCCATAAGCAATAGATAATCTAATTGAACAAAGAGCTAAAAGGAAAAAGAGAAAATGTGAAAGGATTTCCTAAAAGTAATGGATAAACAGATACAATAATTAGCTTCATCTCACAAAAGTAAATAACTATTTGTTTAATGGATAATGGACAAACAGATGTATATAATTACCTTAAGGGAATGGATAAGCCGGTAAAATAATTTGCAATAAGTAATGGATTAACAACTGAAACACTAAATGGTTGAAGCGGCGAGTCTCTTTCAGTCCTATAAATTAAACACTGCAGTCGTTCTCATTAACATCCCCCTCTTATCTCCAGCTCTGTGTGTCTCTATTTATGTTTCTATTTCTAGAGCTGCTATACACGCCAGTGACCAAACACCATAATCCATTCTGATAAGGCAGAAACACACCAGCATGCTTTGTCTAACTCAGTAAATAATCCACACCTCTAATACAGGACAGGACGCTTAGCGCGCTGGAGATATTATGACACTCTGTCTCAACGCCGAGCATGACGCCAACTGTTTACTCTGTGTTATGTGAATACAAGTCGCTATGATTTACATGATCTTAAACAAAGAATCTATCTTGTTGGAGAGGCTAGTTTCAGCCCATAACTCATCTGATGGCGCTGCTTATTGCAGAGCAGCATGTTTCACATCATTGCGTAATGATGAACAAACAGTCATGGGGGACGGCAGAGGCATGTTATGTTGGATGAGTTTTCCTAGTGTAGCCTAGCAGGGTGAAGCCACTCTGATCATTACTTCTCTGCTGTGCATCATGGAAGAAGAGCAGAATGAGACTGATGGCTGCAGACGTCACACCGCTGACAGAGCACAGATACACATAACTGACTTAAAACAGAGACTGCACTGAGGCGCAGAGGCTTATTTACCCTTTAACTCTATTTTTATTTTTAGTCGAGGTCAATCAGAGTTACGGCATTAATGTCAAGTCCATTTAGAAACCAATTACAGTATCATTTAAAAACGTTTTAAAGTTCATCCAACCAAGTTGCGGACCACATTTGGTGAAGACTGCATGACATTCGTAGGACTAATGTTTTTGTCTAGCCTGGACAAAAAAAAAAGAAGAAAACAAGAAGTATTCTTTTAGGACTTATCGTCATGAGTTGTAAAGCAAACATATTTTATGAACATCCGCCCAGAAGTCCTTTCGAATCAATATGTTTGCCAGACACTAATCACTTCTTGTCTTGATGTAAAACCTTGATATAACTCTCCTGCAAATCCCACATGCATGTGCTGTACAGTAACTGTTAAACAAATATTAAAACATTCAGAAAAGGAAAGCGTGAAGGCAAGAATGATATAAAAGACAAAAGAATAAAGAAGGAATCACAATGGAGATATCAAAATGGAAAACAGGATCAAAAGAGGAACATTAAATTAGACTTTTATAAATTGCACAGGTAAACAAAACACGGTTAAACTTGTCAAGATCAGAAGGCAATTACATAACGAAAGTCTTTGAGAGTGGATCTTCAGAAGTGGATTTGAAAGATGTGAGAGTTTTTTTTGGGCAGGGCACGCTGAGGCCACTGACTTAAAAAGCACTATCATTGTCTGAGTGTGTCAGGTTTAAAAACCATACAGCATGTCAGGGACCTCGTTTCTAAAAGCATTATAAAATATATTTAAAGTGCACCTTAAATTGTTCCTGGTCTGTTTGGATAATCCAAAATCCACACAGCTTTTAGAGGTCGAAATACAAACGAGTTATTAGCACAGGAAAGTATACAGATTATCCAGATTAAGGGAGAGTTGTTTATGAAAAATACATGTTTTCTGTTGAGTTTTGTAATGCAATTTATTGCAACTGTAAGCGCCATAAACACAATGTTTTTTGAGTAGACCAAACCTTTGTCTTAGAAAAACATCACTGAGGTGAAACTGAGGTCACACAGCGATGACATGCTGTGTTTCAACCGTATAGAGTTGCTCTGTAATGATTTATGGTTCACCCCAGATCCATTGATCATGTATCCATTCCCCGCTGCAGTAGCAACGCTCATTAATCTGACACATACAGTAGCTTCGTTACTTCTTAAACACCACCACAGCCCCTCCCACAGGACTGCTGTTCCACTATAAACTCCACATCATCAAGGATGCTCAATGTAATCATGACCTAGAAAGTAAAGAAAGATGATTACCTCTTCAACGTGATCGCGCTTGAGTAATATAATAAAGCTACACATTGAGGGTGAAACAGCATATGACTCAATAAGAGAAACGTAAACCCGATCACCCTTCGTTCTAGACATTGGCCAGAGACTTCAACTGAACAACAAAGCTCCACCAATCACTCGGAGGTTTGTGAGTGTTTAGGAGTGATAGCAGAAGACACCTCAACATCATGCAGGATCTGAGGAAGCTAACAAGAAGCAGAGGACCACTGACACCATGGCCTTATGCAGCAGGAGCGTGCCCCCCCCCCCTCGCTGGCCTGAAGACCCCCAAAGCTTTGATCCACCATCTTGTGGAGATACATGTCAGACAGGCTGAAGAAAACAAGCTGCTGCTGAATATCGAACTGATAGAACAGATGCTGTTCCTATCAAAGTGTGTTGGGATCAAATGAGCAAACCCTCTCTGTTTATATCAAATGTGATAAACGTAATCACATCCTTGTAGAGGACACACACTGTATTTTAAATCTCCTTATGGAGCCTCTTTCTGGCTTCTTGCCATGATCTGGATTGGAGGACCACCTGGGTAATAGTGATGGGAATTACGGCTCTTTGAAGGGAGCCAGATCTTATGGCTCCGTTCCTTTCCGAGGGCCGTTCAAAAGAGCCTTTTTTTTTTTAAGCGGGGCGGGGTTAATAGGTTTATCTGCGAAATAATCACCAGGATAATAATTGACTGTATTGCCAGAAATCTACTTTTACTCACAGCAAAATGTACAACTTGCTACATCTCTCAGGCAGCCAAACTACTACTCAAGCAGCACGCGTTATGCCATCATCTATGGAACATCTGCATTCAGGAAAGCAAGTTCCCGTAAAGGCGAGTGGATTTATGGCAGGCAGTGAACCAACGATAAAAAGAACGGCTCTCACCAAGTACGACTAGGTTCCCTTCGTTCGTACCAAAGAGCCGTTCAAAAGAATCGGATCGTTTGCGAACGTAACATCACTACTGGGTCATTCTGTAGTTTACCCATGATTCATTTCAACATTGATTTATGAATAGACCATGGAAAATACATCCCTCATTTTTCCAGTTTTCTTTTTCTCCATAACCCTAGCAAATGTACTTACTTCAAAAAGTTGGTTCATATGGCAAAAAAAACTTTGATAACGACTTTAAGATTTCATTTTTGAGATATATTTTTCTGAGACTTCTGACACCACCTCAATACAGCTGTGGTGCTCCAAACTATCAAAAGGAACATCTCTTTCCAAATAAAGTTTCCCAGTAACCCCCGATAATCCACAGACACACAGTCCAGGTTTCATAAGGATTATTTCTCCGGTGGAAGGTTTTCTACAACTGTTCACAGCCCAGTGTGTGGAGTTATCAGTACATGATTTCTGAAAAGTGGTGTCGCTGCTGGATTTCTAAAAAATAGTTTAGGAAGTCAACTGGAATGTTCCCTCTTCAGATGTTGAATATGATAATGAAAATCTCACTCTTATGTATGTCTTTCAAATACATACTAAGATCGGTACAGAACAGATTATGTTCTGCATCAAGACCTGAAGCAGAGGGAAACAGCTGGCCTGGAAGAACTTTTTAATGCATGTATTCACTATACATAATCTAAAACACATAATACATAATACATTAGTGGTATTGATCTTCTCATAACTGACCAGAAAAACGAAATTCAAAAATTGTTGATCTATTCCTTTAAATGAAAATGGAATGCTTTGAACACAAAGTTCATTTAACCACTTAAATCTCAATATGGAAATCTCAAAACCTGGACATAGTTGAGTAAACCTACCCAGCTATCTGCATGTCTGTAAAGGGTGGGTGATTTTCTTTTGTTCTTGTTTGAACTGACACCTTATCTGCCCCACACTATATACATTAGCTGTAAGTCATCCAATAAAATCAAGCAGTAAACATCCAGTAAAAAAAAAAAATGTGATTGTTACCTTTTCCTGGTATTGCCGTCTGGAGGAGTCCAGAGACTGGATGAGTGCGGTTGCGTGGCCGATGAACATGGCGTAGCAGGTGGCTCCCACGATCATACTGAGCATGGTCAGCCAGATGTCAGACATGCTCTCCGGGGCTTGTCTTCCATATCCAATACACAGCATGTGGCTCATGGCCTTAAAGAGGGCGAAGGAGTAGAGCTCGGTCCAAGTGTCATTCTGTGTGGAGAGAGGGAAAGATTGCAAAGAGGCAAGATTGTGAAACTGTTCTCCGAGAATAGTTTCACACTTTTATATTGTTACGGTCATGATACAATGAGTTTGACCTTTAAAACAGGTTAGCATAAGTGATGACTTAATTAAAGAAGAAAAGGTCTAAAGACTAAGACGTTCGTGGTGAAGTGTTTGGCTCTGTGTCTGGGGATGTTTCAGGTTTGGAGGAGAGCGTTATCATTATTACTGAGCAGCCTCGCCTCGTCTTGGCCAGAGCAGAAGGAGAAGGGGAAAAGTGAGAGTTAATGAGGAGCCTGTACATCTGCCTGCTCCAGTCTGCCTTTGATTGGCGCTCACACACTCAGTCAGCTCTAATTCTCCAGTGTTAGATTCATTAAAAAGCCCTCCATAGGCACCACTGCGCCTCAAACCCTCTCCTCAAACAGCTGGGGTGTCTTCAGTCACTGATTGACTTCTTGTATTTGTATCTGATTTGGGTTTTTCCAGGGGCATTTGCATTTCATTTGAGATTCAAATTCAGGTTGTTTTGGAGGAGGTCAAACGGGACATACGGGGAAGAGGCGCCGTCAAATGAAAATGTGTGTTTGGCAAGGTGATTCCAGGAGCAGGAAGGAAAGATGATGAGATTTTAAAGGCACTTAGCCTCAGGCAGGAGGGCAACCAGAAACTCTGTGAGTGTGACTCTAAGCTTCCTATCTGTTTGAGCTGGCAGCTGGATCAGAGGTTTAGATTTATAAGGAGATAAAACTGGGCCTTATAATCTTTGATAAAAGACAGAAAACGCTGCGACAAGCCTTTAAGATTGTAAGCACCATCAATACATATCTAGCTTTGTTGTTATTTCTAAACTTACCTTGTTACTGCAATCCTTGTCTCCCTGTCATCCTTAAGCCGTAAGCCCAGTATAATAAGCAAAACTCTAATATAACACCCCAGCTTCAGTCTGTTTCTCATCCCCACTGCCCCCGGGTGGTCAGCATGCTTGGAACTTTACTGGTGGAGAAACAGCATGTGAAGACCCCGGGCAAAGAAACAAACACCTTCTAACACATGGCTGCATCTGTGTCTCGGTCCTACTCTCTTACAGGCACACACACACATTAAGATAGAGTAATTCAGTGGAGAGAGAATCCGAAAATATTGTCTTAAGCGTCACTGGGGTTCATCCTAAATGTAAAATCTTCTGTACAAAGTAAAACAAGATAACAAGAATACTAGAAACAATTTAAATAGAGATCCTTCTGAGTTCAAAATCAAGGAATAGCTCTTAGCTTGTCTATGGACGTTTCTCAATTTCATTTCATTTCATTTCAAACCTTTATTTAACCAGATTGGTCCCATTGAGATCATAGATATCTTTTTCAAGGGAGACCTGCAATGTCAATGTCGAGTAAACCTGCTGCAGAGCCACTATTTCAAGTATACTACGTCATCGAGTGGCGCCGAAGGACTGTTTAAATGCATGTTAAATGCCCAGCATTCGGCGCCACTCGATGACGTAGTATACTTGAAATAGTGGCTCTGCAGCAGGTATACTCGACATTGAGAAACGGCCTATGTGCCATACTTATGCTGTGACATGATGCAAGTGGAACTTTCATTATCCATTTTAAAAGATGAGATGCAGCAGCACACACTGTACCATCTAGAACACCCCAGCATTAGCTAGGTACAGATAAAGGGTGTATCAATACAACTCATCAATGACAAGAGGGTGCATTACTCATGCCTGTGTGGCTGTGTGACCGGGGATAAATCTGCTCCACTCTCCTGTGTTCCTAGAAATGTTGTTGTTGATCTCAAGGCCTAGTGTGCAGATCAGTGTTTCTGCACTGATTTCCATACAAATACACGGTGTCACCTTGACCTGAAAGAGGCATAATTGATACTGGATGATGCATACAAACTATGTGAATGTTTACATGTACTTTAGTTAAGTTTAGTTGATGTATTCTTTAATGGTTTAACATTAAGGGAAATGTGCTTATTGCATTCTTGCCGAGAGTCAAATGAAAAGATCGATATCTGTGGTGTTAGCTTAGCTCAGCATAAAGACTGGTAATGGAGAAACAGCTAGCCTGGCTCCAGCTATCCACAGCTGACAACTTCGATCCAACAGCCCCTCTAAAGCTCATATCATGTTTGTTTATCCTCTGTTTGTGCATGCAAAAAGTTGTGGTTTAATGAGGTTTTGTACTTCTTGACAAGGCGCAGTAACTTTGCTCTTGTTGCCTGGCAGCTACCTTGGCAACCAGCTTAGCGATGGAGACAAAACACGACCAGCTGTAACTGGTCAGTGTGTGTTTAGGTTTGAGATAATTGCTGATGAAAACTGACAATGGGCACAGCCGTCTCTTACTAGTGGAAATTACAGCCTTCATAGTAACACAATAAAGAAACTCTACAGGGAGACCACCCTGTGTGAAGGGGGGAAGAAAGAGGAAACAAATGAAATTAGCTCTGGTGTTCATTTTATCTGCCACCGGTCTTTACTGAGCAGCTAATAGTACATAATACATTTATGGATGAGGGAGTGTGTGTGTGTGTGTGTGTGTGTGTGTGTGTGTGTGTGTGTGTGTGTGTGTGTGTGTGTGTGTGTGTGTGTGTGTGTGTGTGTGTGTGTGTGTGTGTTGCAGAGCACCTCTTTGACAGGGTGCAGTCCGCCTCTGAGAGAAAAACTCACAGGGGGAGTTTGGTCTGGACTGACATTTGACAACATTGACATTTAAATTTGAATATGTAAATTGCCGTAAAATACCTTGTTAGCCTTGTTAAGATTCATTATTTAGAACCAGTGGGTTCGTATTCAATATTTAAAACCAAGGGAGTAAAAAATGTTGTAGGATGGTTTGGTGTCTGCTGAAAGTAATTGACAGTTTTGATGAGAAATGCTGACAAGTACTCTGATAAAATCTTTCTTTTTCTAAGTCTATTTATTATGATGTCTAATTTACTATTTCTAAATCTGTTTGTATAGCTCTTCATCTTACAATCTTTTTTACTTCTTCAAATATTGTTAACTTCTACCCAGTGCCAACACAACCCTTTGTTCACTCAACTATATCAGGCCTTTCAATATATAAAAAACTGAAAGCTGTTCTGCCGTTTTTGAAGAAACCATATTTTGCCTTGTAGAGCAGGTGTGCAGAGGGAAACAAAGCACAGGTGCACAATGGTCACTATTACAAAGAGTGAATCATTTGCAGAAGAGAAGCATGTTCAGCCTGGCCTCTGAGGGACCCTTCATAGGCCGTGTCCTCTGAATTCAGACACAGCTGGAGTTTCCTGACTGCTGTTGCTTTTCAATCAGGAGCATCCAGAGAATCTGTCAGGTTGATGATGCAAGCGGAGGCCAAAGGACGCAAGCCTAAAGCATCTGTGCTCATCTCATGACAGTGAAAGAGACATGGTGGTTGTTAATGATAATTAGAAAAGGGGGAGACGGTAACAATTCAAAGAAAACCTCTAGGGAGCTCTGAACTTGTGTCTATAACACTGAATATCACTGCTTGGCTCAATTATGACAACAACTTTCACAGACACTCAGATAGTTATACCTCTTCAATAAAGTCAACATTGACCAAACTTCACTTAATTTTACTTTTATTTGAAAATTGATTATATCTAAACAAATACACATGAATACTTTACCAGTTTCAAGTCTCCTGAACATTATAAATCAAGGATCCAATCCATTTCCACATGCCACTCACATCTACTACCTTATTATGTTCCAAATCTTGTCTGAAAAATGATATGGATGTTCTTTCACACTGATCTGTTACATGTACCAAATTCATTCTGAAACTCAACTCAACTCACACACACCCTCCTTCACACACAGATCTCACATGACACGTATGCTTGTGAGTGCTGACAGGCCTGCCCGACATTTAGATCACTTCATTTATTGAGAGAATGGGGGGTATCCTTATTAACTCTGACAGCAGGATGTTTTCATGAAGTGCCTATTTGTGGATCATTGTGTGCGTACAGTACAGTGTACATCCATAGATAATAGCTAATTGGCATACTAATGAAATTCTAGCAACTCTTCCTCTTCAGGAAAATGTCTCTCAGCTGCCCTAATATGGAAGACAGTAACAGAGCTCAGACTGAAACAGGAGAAACAGAGAGGCTTTATTTGAATTCCACTGATCCAGCAGCCAATCAGAGTGAGGCATATAGGACCGACCTACCCGTCATTCACGTAGCAGAGATCAACTTAAATGAAAGGCCATTATGATGTGGTACCTGAACACTTCACTGCAGGAGAGTGATTATCAGGCTTATATTATATAAACAACAAAGTGCACATCTTTTATGAGTTGCAGATTTTGTTATTGACTGTTTTGAGGTAGAGCCTAATGCATTACGGGAGGGAAAGGGTTTGGGAGGAGGCTATTTTGATTATCATATCAAATATACACAAAGGCAGACCGATGATTAACCCTCCTGTTGTGTTCGGGTCAAATCTGACCGATTTACTACTTTCATCAATCATAACCTTTTTGTTTTACATTCGATGGCTTCATGATATCCTTCACAGTAGACATTTGAACATATAAAATTGCTGATCACCACTTTAATTGCATTTTGGATGATTTAGTCAACTTTGTAACACCCATGGTGTTCCCGGTCAAAACCGCCATAAAGAAAAGGAATTAGTAACCATCCGGATCAGATCAAACATACACACATACAGATGTGTTTTCCCCCCTTATGTGCCCATCCCCCCATGTGAATCACACCTGGCACACACAAAC